ATTATTATTATTATTATTATTATTAATAATAATAATAATAATAATAATAATAATAATAATAATAATAATACATTATTATTATTCTTATTCTTATTATTATTATTATTATTATTGTTGTTGTTGTTGTTGTTGTTATCACTACAAAAATAATAATAATTATATTATTATTATTAATAATTATTATAATATTAAAAATAATTAATAATAATGATAATAATTAACAATAATTGTTGTTGTAATTTTTATTGTTATTATATTACATAAAAGAAATAATATACAATAATTTATTATTATATTAATAATAAATAATAGTGATAATAAATTATCTTATTTCGACTAAAACCCAATAAGAAGCAAAAATCATTCAAATTCATGCAAGTCATTTAAATCTGGCAAAAAATGTTGAATTAGACACTTTAGACATACAAATAACCCAGCAGCAATTCCTGTCAAGAATAAAACATAAAACTAAAGTATCAAAAAGGTTAAAAAGTTCACATAAAACTCCAAAACTCTTTACATAAACACATTTTTAGACAACAAACAGAGTTAATTCACTTCAAAACAGACAAACAAGTGTTCATTTGCAACAATTCTAGCAGTCTTGATGCATTCCCAGCATGCACCGGGGTAGCAGTAGCAGGTTAGCACGGCCTAAAGCTGCATCTCTACTGGCTGCCAGTCAACCGAGTGAAGAAAAGAGGCGTGCTCAGATGCAGAAGAGGTTCATTCAGATAGAAAATGAAAAAAAAAAAAAAAGACTCAAGCCTCCTGGACATTAGTGCTCTACTCCAACCAGCACTACAAACAGGAGAGGAAGGAAAAGAAAGAGAGACAAGTGAAAAGCATTGTGGGAGTCTAGAGTGGCGTTCGACTTTTCGGCACAGCATTGGGCGACTCTGCTTTCCTGATCAGAGACTACACACCCAGCGCTACTGCTATTCTGACCACTGATAAAGTGACATGAAAGGTAATATTTTGATCAGTTTCCATCACCACCCCTGAGCTTTTCCGGGGTTTACTCCCTTCACTCACATTGAGCATACTGTCTGCTAGGGATTGTTTGGCTAGAAGCACATGTCCCATGACTTCATTCTCAAGTGGGATAGTTTGTTGGGTTTAAGCTGATATAGTAAAGGAACAGTATAGTATAGTATAGTATAGTATAGTATAGTATAGTAATAGTATAGTATAGTATAGTATGGTATAGTATAGTACAGTACAGTTATAGTATAGTTTAGTATAGTTATAGTATAGCTATGTTATAGTATAGTATAGTATAGTATAGTATAGTGTAGTATAGTATAGTATAGTATAGTATAGTATAGTATAGTATAGTATAGTATAGTATAGTATAGTATAGTGTTCTATAGTCTGATAACACTGAACTCTTAACTTGAAAATGAGGACAAAGAAAAACTTAGTTACTATTAAAATGACTAGGCGTAATATTAAAAATAGAAATACATTGGATTGACTTTTTTTATCTGTTTTATTCTGCTGTTGGATCGGAAGGGGATCCATGAAAGGCAAGGGGCAAACTTATTTAAATTGAAATTGTATTTCTTACATATTTTTTTCCAGCTTTGTTTAAATAAGAAAGGAATAAAGTGAATGTTTCCAGCAAATGTTTCATTTTTAAATTAATTATATGTTCATTTAATTAACTAATTATTTATTATTTTAAAATAAAATAACAACAATATTGTAATAATCATTACTATGACTAATAATAACAGCATTATTGTTGTTATTTTAAAAATACGATTGAAGATAGAAAGAAAAATAAGGACGGAAGAAAGGAAGGATGGATGGAAGAAGAAAAAAGATAAATGAAGGAAGGAAGGAAGGAAGGAAGGAAGGATGGAAGGATGGATGGATGGATGGATGGATGGAAGAAATAAGGATGAAGGAAGGAAGAAGAGATGGAAGGATTGATGGATGAATGAAAGAAAGATAAATGAAGGAAGGAAGAAAGCATGGATGGATGGATGGATGAAAGATTATTGAGGAAATGAAGGATGGATGGATGAAAGAAAGAAAGAATGATAAAAAGATAAATAAAGGAAGAAAGGAAGGAAGGAAGAAAGAAAGGATGCATGGAAGGATGAATGCAAGGAAGGATGAATGGATGGATGATAAAGGAAGGATAGATGGATGGATGGACAAAAGAAAGAATAAAAGAAAGAAAGATGAATGAAGGAAGGAAGGAAGGAAGGAAGGAAGGATGGATGGATGGATGGATGGATGGATGGATGGATGGATGGATGGATGGATGGAAGAGATGAATAATAAATAAATAAAAATGAATAAATAAATACTTGAACGTTGAGTGCAACAAACATGGTCACTATAAAACAAATAAAATCACTATAATCTTTTTTTGCTCTTTGACTCGCAGCAGAGGGCTTGAATAATGTATGAAATTACCCAAATAAACAAACCTTGCCCTTCAACCTCGCTTTTGAGGGCTTGAATAGACGAGACATTCACTAAATTCATCCACACACAAAAAGTAACAAATAATGCTAAAAAGAAAAACCGCCCTGAGCTAAAGTGTGGGTCAGTCTGTCGGCGGACTTTTCGTTTCGGAGGTTAAAGTGAATCAGAGCCCTAATATCTGCTGTGCGTGGGCAAGAGTATCTCTCTGGTCAGAAAAGCAGAGCTGCTCTTGTGTTCTAAGCCACTTCTCTGGAAGTCTTACGGCAGAGACCTCTTGCTGGAGCTCAGACACCCGTTTTTTCAGCTCTTCGCCCTGTGTTTGACTCTGCGCCAGCTCGTCCTTCAGCTGCTCTACCTGTCAGGAGAGGCCGGCATTACTGCAAAAACCACCAATCACCATTCAGCAGCTGGCATGCAGACACACACCCTGCGGCCAATCAAACCCATGTTGCCAGAGTTATCAGACCGATCTGCGTTCACCTCACAGGCCATGCGGTTATGATTTTGCCACTTAGCTGCAATTAAACTTCATTTAATAAGAGGTTTTGGAAAAGGTCAGGAGTTAGGTTTTACTAAAGAAAAATGCTATAGGTGTAATTCATGTAGCCGAGGCTCGAACGTGACATTTTTTAGACTTGTTAATGATCAGTGACTTGAGAAAACATGCCAGCTGTAAATCTTTAGTAGCCAAAAAAAAAAAAAACTGTTTATTATTTTATTAAAAGAAAAATAATAATAATAATAATAATGTTGTTGACAATAATAATAATAATAATAATAATAATAATAATATTTCATTTAAAGTTTTTAAATATTTCAAGTATTTGATGTAGACTATATACAATAGTGTAAGTATTATTATTATATTATTATTATTGTCAACAACAATATTATTATTTTTATTTGTATTATTATTATTATTATTATTATTATTATTATTATTATTAATATTATATCATCAACAACAATATTATTTTATTAGTAGTAGTAGTAGTATTAGTAGTAGTAATATTGACAATACATAATCATTTGTTTATTATTGTTATAGTTATTATTACTATTATTATTATTATTGGCAATACATAATAATTAGTTTATTATTGTTATTATTATTGTTATTATTTTATCATCAACAACAATACTATTATTACTATTATTACTAATATTATTATTACAATAACAACTATTCTACAAAATTAAAATATCATAATCAAAATGTAAAAAATATGTCTAATTATTTATCAAATAAAAAGTAATTTTAATAAACAAAAATAATAGACCTGTTATTTAAATTAATATAAACTAAAGAAATAAAAGTAATAAATGATTACAAAAATGTATTGATACATATAAAAGTAACGATAATCAAATCATTATTTGTTCATTAGTTTAGTTATCCGTTCATTTATTCACAAAAATGCAGCTCAATTTACGTTAAAACTGCTTTAAAATGAAAATGTAAGCAATTTTATGCTGATTTCACATTTTCTGATAGACACCATATAACAACACTAGCATCAGCGTAAACATTAGCGACACCAGAAGACACCTACTCTTCAACTTCAACAACACACAGCTTACAAGTGAGGTGTAGGTTATTAATATATAACTATAAATACATGCATACATGCATGTGTAAATACAAATCTACAGCATAATAAATCATTCCTTATGATCCCCATGACTCTACCTTATTCTTCATGAACTTGGAGTGACTGCGGTAAACCTCCATCTGCTTCATCTCCTCCTCTCGCTCCTCTGTGCTTAGAGCTCCGTTAGACTTCAGCATCTGAATCTCGTCCTCCAGGTCCCTCAGACTGCGCTCCATAGAGCCGATCTTTGAGTCCTGCAGAGATCACAAACACACGTTTCAGGAAAACACAAATAGATGCACAAGGAAGGTGCAAAACACACTATTTCCTGTATGCCAGCTGCTAATAAATAATTATTTAATTAATCTGGATCAGAAGAACGGTTTGGTTGAATAAAACCTTTATGTATACAGCTATTTCACTTGTTTTGAAACACATAAAAAGTGAATAAGTAGTCATGGGGACATTCACTCCAAAAAAAATAAAAAATTCAAGAGTTCACACTTAGCTGATGATTGATTATAAAGCTTGTTTGGCATGCTGTCCCAGGAAAGAGCCCTGAGCTCATGAGATCCTCAAGTCCGGGGCTCCCTCTCGTTGCAAGGCATGAGGGGAGTTTGAGCTCAGGTAGATCTCGAGAACTCCCCTGCTGTAGTAACTAATGAACAGTAAGTGATTGCTCTTTGGAGATAACTACATACTAGAAGCATGTCTATGGTGCCGATTTGGACTAGTCAATTAACTTAATTTGCCATTTTTGGATGGTGGGAGGAAACCGGGGAACCCGGGGGAAACCAACGTGAGCACAGGGAGAAAGTGCAATTTCCACACAGAAATGTCTGCTGGTTTGGTATAGCCTGGAACCAGAAACATTCTTGCTGTGAGGCAACAGTGCTACGCACTGGGCCACCGTGTCACCCATCTAGGAAGGAGGAGGAGGAGTATGGGTGGAAGGGGGGACTCTTCAAAACGAAGATAACAGTGGAATGAAACCCAGGGTATTTATAGTAGTTTAGGAGACGTCTGATTGGAGCATTGTGAATTGGATAATGCGGATCCAGCCGCTAGCAATCATAAGCACGTGATCTGATCCTCTCATAATTAGTTTATACATAAACTTCACATATTATTTTGCTCGCTCAAACGAGTTATTTAAAATGAGCTGAAACAACTAAATTCTTGAGATATCATTGGGACAACTTTTTTTTTTTTTTTTTTCAATCCACATACATTTGTTTAAAGTGTTAAGTTAACCAAATCAATTTGTGTTGGGAAAACATGAATGAAGTGTGTGGAACCCTGCATTTTTTACAGTGTAATACAAAACCTAAATTAAGTCATTTTAGCATGCCAAAGTTGAATTTATGCATAAATAATATCCATTTAAAAATTGTGCGTGGCTAGTAAATGTTGAAAAATTACTAGCCACAGTGGCTGGTGATCAAAAAAAGTTCATGTCAAGCCCTGGACACACTCAATATTGTCATCATGCACAGTATTAAAACAACAACCCCATTATCATTTTATTATTATAAAGAATACTAAAGTTTGTGATTTCCTCACCACACACACAAAGCAAACTCGCACACACACTTGCCTTCATCTCGATGACAGTCTGCAGAGCCTTGGTTTTGGCCGATTCTGGAGCTCCCTCATAACGCCGGTGGAGATCCTGTGGAGAAAACACGAGACGAGGATCATGAGGTGAAACCACAGGAGAGAAACGTCCACCTCTACCGCCAAACGTCAGCTGATGAGGATCCAGTCCATTCCACATTATAATACCCCGCTGATAATAAATGACCACTGACTGATGAATCTCCAGCACCGAATGACTAATTCAGCACACTGATGGCAGTCCGAGAGAGTTTCAGTCTGCTGGCTTGAATGTTTATGCGTGGATGAGTCCCTTATGAACAAGATAATGCACTGAGCAGCGGACAAACAGAGTGAATGCAATGTCCACTAACACAAAGAAGGCAGCCTCCAGCAATTGAAGACCTTAAAATCAGCATTCAGACACAAAACATGAAGCCTCATCCTTCAGATATGATGAACCCACATGGGGAAAACAGTATGACAGTATCTTCATAATTGTAATCAGTTTATTACTGTTAAAGTTTTTCTAACTTCATAGTGCTTCTAAGAAAAAAAAGAAAAAAAAGAATAAAGTTAATTTCTTGCAGTTTATTTCATTTAATTCAACTAAATACTAAGGTTTCTGAATTTTTCATGCAGCCCATTAAATTTAAATGACATTAAAACTGTTTTAAAATGGATTTTAAAAGGGTTTCCAAGACTTTGCCTCATTATCGGTAATTCACAGACATTTGCAGTAAGTCTTTGGTAAAGGAGGAATTTCATATCACAAGATTAAAAAAATGAAGGCTGTTCGTTAACTTCTGCCTGTTCTTTGATGTCCAACTGGAGGCTTCAATGAAAGACCTGAAATGTTCTACTGATCTCTGTCCAAATCATTATTTTAATCATTCACCGCTGCCTTTCGCAGAGCTAAACCCAAAGATCAGAACATGGTAAACACCTGCTCAAGATGATTTTATTTCAAACAAATGCTGTTTTATTAAAACTCCTGAAAATAAAATCCACAAATTGTAACAAATATTTTAAAGGCAGATTCTAAAAATAATGCACAATAATTACAATTACAACAGAAACAATTTGAAATGCATATTTTTTTCTGTTTGTTAATCAAATTGGCCCTAAAGTTGAACTATTTATTTATTTATTTATTTATTTATTTATTTATTTATTTATTTATTTACTTACTTACATACTTACTTACTTATTCATCTATGTATTTATTTATTTGTTTATTTATTTGTTTATTTATTTATTAATTATTTATGTTTTCATTCATTTATTTATTTATTCATTTTTTATTCGTTAATTTATTTATTTATATATTCATTCATTTTTTATTTGTTCATTTATTTATTTATATATTCATTCATTTTTTATTTGTTCATTTATTTATTTGCTCATTTATTTATTTTTTTGTTTGTTTATTTATGTAGTTGTTCATTTATTTGTGTATTTTTTATTATTTACTAATTCATTTATTTATTTCATTTATTTATTTATTTATTTATTTTATTTACTAGTTCATTTGTTCCTTTTTTAATTGCTCATTTATTTATTCGTTCTTTTATTTATTTTGCTTGTTCGTTTTACATTGTATTAGGTTACATTACAGTAAGAATTTCATCATATTAGTGGCTACACATTATTAACCGTTCCTTGTTTGATAATGATTTCAGGTTCCAAAAAGGGAGTAAAACTCTCAGCTCAAAGCCTTTTCTGCAAGTTTCTCAAAAGTAATTCAGAAAATGCGACAAACTAGGTGGCCACTAGATGCCACTGTCGCCAAACTTCTGCATTTGCTCATTGGCTGTCTCAGAAGATGCCTGACAGAAGTTAAAATAAAATAAAATAAAATAAAATAAAATAAAATAAAATAAAATAAAATAAAATAAAATAAAATAAAATAAAATAAAATAAAATAAAATAAAATAAAATAAAATAAAATAAAATAAAATAAAATTAAATTAAATTAAATTAAATTAAATTAAATTAAAATGCCATGAGAAGAGTTAGGATTTATACAAAAACAAACAAACAAAAATCACAACATTAAAAATAAATAAATAAATAAATAAATACAAAACATTTGTAATTTGCATTGTTTTCAATCTCATACCATGCAAATAAATAACGCCCTTAGGGAATTCAGATTTTTACAAAGAAAACCAAACAGACTAAAATAAATCAAATAAAACAAAATAAAAAATTTAAATGTTTGTGTTTTGCATTGTTTTATTCTTTATATCCTTCTAATAAATTATGCCATGAGGCCAGCTCAACTCTTCACAAAAAAGTTCTAATAAATAAAATAAAATAAATTACAAATATTTGTGGATTGCATTGTTTTGATCCTCATACCCTTCTTATAAATTATGCCATGCAGCATCATAATAATAACAATATACTAAATGACAAGACTTTCTTTGCTTGCTTTTACTTTAAGAAGTTTCTTCCCCAGCTATTTTATTTTCACTTTCAGCATTAATACTAATCGAAATCTCTGCCTGAGAAACTCCAATAAACTTCAATCCGAGATATAACTACTAAAGTAAATGTGCTGAATGTTTCGTGTGCCACATTAGCAGTTTTTGCACTCGGCAACATCTGTGTCTCCTTTCATCAATGATCCTTTCAGTCTCTCTGGTTTCTATAGCAACAAATGTTCAACCGGCTTCAGTTTACAGCAGGTTTCCTTCCCTCCGAGTCTCGATAAGCTTCGCTCGTCCGCCGCTGTTTAAAATGACTAATCTAGAGCCCTTGATTCATCAGCGGCGTAATTGAGAGTCCTGGCCAAAACATTTTACCGCGACTCATCAACTGTGGATAAATGACCAAGCGCTGTCAGCATCTTTCCCGGAGCAGCTGTTTGGTTATTCAATACTTGATAGTCACTTAAACACTGTTAGGGAAGAAGGTGACATCTTTATGGAAGATTTCTGACAAAAATAAAGGAGAGGGGGACGAGGACAACTTGCTTTTTTGCAATTATGAGAAGAAAACAACAAAGGAAATTAAAAAATTGTAAAAATAAAAGCTCACTATTCGAATTGGGAAAAAATATGTCAACTTTGAGATGTAAGTTCTGAACAAAATATTATATCTATTAAATATTAAATATTATACAGTTTCAGTGCACTAGATTAAAGGTTGGCTAAGCGTTGTGTGCTGGTTTCCTCTTACCTCTCTCAGCAGCCCCATCTCTTTGTCCCTCTGATCCAGCAAACTCTCCAGATGGTGGATGTGCATTTCAGCATCGGCCAGTCTCCGGGTGCGCTCGTGGTCCTCCTCGCTGGCCTTGGCCGAGAGTCCTTTACTCTGCAGCATCTCCAGCAGCTTCTTGATGGACTCGTCCCGAGCGTTGAGCGTCTGTTTCTGGGTGTCGATGCGCAGCTCCATCTCCTCCAGAGTCTTCCTCAGTAGAAACAGCTCTTTGGCCTGACGCTCGTGCTCGCCATGCAGACGCTGGAAGTTCTCCTCGGTCAGTTCGGCAGTCAGTGGCTCGCCAGGACGAGAGCTGGGGTCTTGCTGGAAGAGCTGGTTCAGGTCCCGCTGGATCCGCAGCTCGTCCTGGAGGGCCTGGATGGTCATCTGGAGATGCTGCACATCAAACAAGCAAATAAAAGATGAAGAATGTGTCGATGATGTTGTTTTGTAATGGACTGCACTGAAAAAAATGACCCATTGGATTTACTAAATTTTACTTTTCATTGGATTTACTAAAAAATTGAAGGTAATTGGTTGCAAACAATTAATATGAGCTGAATTTAAACAAACAAATTAAATTTAGTAATGTTCAACTTAATTTGTTTGTTTAAATTCAGCCCAAATAAATAGTTTGCACATCACTTACATAAATTTTAAATTTAGTGAATCCAATGAATATTTTTTTCAGTGCTAAAATTCTAGCTGCATAGAGAAATAAGATATAATCTTAAAAAAAAGACAACGATGATAAAAACTTATTTTAACCTAAAAGTTAATAAAAAATTACTAATATGCACAAATAAAAAGCAAAAGAGATCAAGAATGTGTTGTGTAAATGATGTTGTTTTGTAACTAGCAGTTGTAGCTAACATTCTGGCTGTATAGGGAAATCGGGTGTAATCTTGAAAAGGAGACGATGAAAAACATATTAGAATTATTTTTTACCTTTTTTTAAACTAAACATTAAATAAAAAACAAAAATTGACATAAAAAGCTAACCAAAGTCTTTCAAAAATTAAATAATTAAATAATAATAAAATATTTATCAAATAAAAACTCATTTAAATAACGAATACCCCCAAAAAATTCAATAAACGAATAAATACAAAAATAAATAAACAAATGTATAACAAAACAGACACACGCATTACAAAAAGAAAAAAAACTGATAAAAATGAGTAAATCCAATAAAATTAAATATAAAAAAGTCACAATTGAATATGAACGTATTAATAAATCAAAAATATCTAAAAATAACTCAAAATAAAAAAATAAATAAATACAAAATCATACAAAACCAAACTAAGAAGACAAATGTAAAAAATAACAATAAAAAATACATTACAAATTATAAATTTATTATGAAATTATTTAAAAAATTGTTTCCCATGGGTTGTGTCTGGAAGGGCATCCGCTCTGTTAAACATATGCCAGAATAATTAGTGGATCATCCCACTGTGGCGCCCCCTGATAAATAAGACACTCAGCCGACGAAAAATTAATGAATGAATTATTCATTATTTAAAAAAAAAAAATGAACACAAAAACAAATGGATGAACAAATAATTAAGCTACAATAAATACTTTAACAGAAGTAAATTAATTAAATATCAAAAATTTATGAATTAACTAGTAAAATACAGACACACATAAAACAATAAAAAATAACCAAAAACAATAACGTAATATGAATAATACATAATTACATTTATAAAAACTGAAAAATAACTAAAGAAAAACTAAAAAAAATCACTAAAAGAATGAAATCGAACTGAATGAATTCATTTTTTAAATATATAAAAATAGCTCATGTCCACACACAAAGATCTATAATAATAATAATAATAATGATAATAATAATACATCATAATCATACTAATAATTGAGAGTAATAATAATACTAATAATTATACTAATAATTCCCCAAAACTTTATGTGCCAATAAAAATTCCCCAAAACCTTGTATGACTCCTCCAGAGATTTTAAAAACAGTAGTTCAGCTGTGAGAATTTCGTCTGCCACTGAATCTCTGGGGGTTTAAGTGCGTTTTACAGCTCTAAAGACTGCCGGCTATTACTTCCACCTGGAGCAGCTCTCAGGAGAGCCGGAGTAAACACAAACCACGTTCTCCAAACACACCAAACAACAGGTCCCAGAGGATACACTTTCAGGCCATCCGTCCAGCAAACACACACTTTACATCAACAACACTGGAACAAAGAAGAGGGGCCAGAGGGCATGAATTTAAGAAGAGTCATAAAGATGTTTGCTGGCGTAAACAGGGTTAAGAGTCGCTTATTTATTTATTTACTTTTTTTGGCAATGCATGAAAATGTTACTGGCAAAAAAAATATGAATATATGCAGAAATAAATAAAAATGAATATATAATAAATAATAGATTAATAAAAACCAATGAATAAATAAATAATTAAAAGTAGTTTAATAAAATAAAAATTTAACTTAAAATAAATAATAATTTTCATATAAATAAAATTTTAAAAAGATGGAAATCACTTTTAAAATAACAACACCTAAAACAATTAATGAAACAAGCGAAAAAAATATAAATAAATACACATAAATAATAAACATTTAATCAAAATAAAAGAATAAAACTTTGACTTATATAAATAAAATAAAAAATAAAAATAATTATAATATAAACACAGCTAAAAAAACTGTTTTAAAAGTACAAGATCTAAAATAATGAAACAAGCAAAAAATAAATACAATAAATAAAATGCATATATAATAAAAATTAAAAACAAACAAACAAGTTTAAACTAATAAAATAAAATAAAAATGTATAATAAATAAATAATAAAACTAATAAATTAAGCACAGCTTTTAAAAGTACAAATTCTAAAATAAATGATGAAACAAGTTAAAAAAATAAAAACACATAAATAATACACAAACATTTAATTGAAACTAAAAAAAATAAATAAAAATTTGAACTAATTAAATTAAATGCAAATTTATAGATAAAACAAGTATAAATAAATAAATAATGAAACGAGCAAATAAAAACAGAAAACTAAACAAAAATAAATAAAAAACAATAAATATGAACATTTCTGATAATGACCATGACCAAAAATATTAACGATATAAATAAAAACAATTATTAAAGTAAATCATAAACAAACATTTCAAACAAATAATGTTTTATTTCAATAAATAAAACGGAACAAACTTATTAAAATAAATCAAACAAAAAATACTAAATCTAAGATAATACTGTAAATCAAACAACAAAAATTGCAAAACAAAATGCAAAAAAGCAAAACAAAGCACAAAAAACGAATGAATGTACAAATAAACAGACGAAACAAGAAATAAACATTAATAAAACAGATTGCTTTCCTAATCTTATTTGAGAAGGTTATTATGCGTTTTGTTAACATTAAAAATAAGACAATGACCCTGACAGTATATATTCATTCATTCATTTTCTTTTCGGCTTAGTCCCTTTATCAGTCCCTTTCACTTATACACCACATGTTTTATGCAGAGGATACCCTTCCAGCTGCAACCCATCACAGGGAAACATCCATAAACACTCATTCACACACATACACTACAGACAATTTAGCCTACCCAATTCACCTATACCACATGTTTTTGCACTTGTGGGGGAAACTGGGGAACCCGGAGGAAACCCACACCAGCACGGAGAGAACATGCAAACTCCACACAGAAACGCCAACTGATAAATTGTATATATGCATATTTTTGTGGTATTTCTTTAAACGTGATTTCATTTGCACAGAAAAACACATTTGAACCGCTTCACAATAATACACACAGACACACACACACAAACAATGTAATAGTAATGAAAATGTGAGTTATGGTCTTTAGTAAGGAGCTTTGAAATAAACACACATTCACACAAAGAGACACTGACTCTTGTATTACTCTGTAAATACTGCCTTTATATTCTCAGCAGTTTGCAATGGCACCACAGAGACAGGACTCTACATTATTCATCAGCCTCCTCTGGCTCCTGATATTTCTGTGTGTGTGCGTTTGGAAAGAGAGAGTGATAGAAACGCAGCCGAGTAAACTCTTAAATGCTTTCACCAAAGAAAATCAAGCTGCAGAATGGCCCGGCCAATCACCTGACTTGAATCAAATAGAAAATACAAAATAAAGTTTAGATTTGATAGACGAGACACAAAGAACCATTAAGATCTTCTGTGAAAAAAACACACCTGAGCAATGCATGACTTCATTCTCCATATGAGAGACATCTTTAAGCTGCCATTCCCAAAAAAAGCCTTTTAAATAAAGTATTAAATAGGTTTCAGCAGTTCAGCACTTTCTCCTTGTGTCATTTTACACATGATTATACATATATTACACATGATTCTTTTGTTTTGTCTTATTTTTATGCTTGTATTGTTTGTGTTTTACCAAAATCTGGTCCAATTCCATGTCAACAGCCCCTTTAGAAATATTATTCCCAGGAAAAAAAAACAATACTTATTTTTCCTGCTGTATTTTTATTTTTATTTATTTTTTATTTATTTTTTTTTTGCTTTATTAGGTTTATCTGAGGTCAGACAAAAAATATTACCGTAAATACAAACTTTAGCTAGTACAAAATGCGGCTGCCAGAGTTCTTACCAGGTCTAGAAAATATGATCATATCACATCAATTTTATCCTCCTTACACTGGCTGCCTGCTAAGTTTCGTATTAATTTTAAAATATTGCTTCTTACCTATAAAGCTTTAAATAATCTATAAAGCTCTTAAATAATCTCGCTACAATCCAACCCGCTCTATAAGATCTCAAAACTCAGGGCTTCTGGAAGTACCTAGAATAGCAAAGTCGAGTAAAGGAGGTCAAGCCTTCTCATGTATGGCTCCTAACACTGGAATAGCCTTCCTGATCATGTCCGAGGCTCAGACACACTCTCACAGTTCAAAACTAGATTAAAGACCTATATTTTTAGCAAAGCATTCACTCAGTGCATCAGTTAGCGGTATGATACTAAATGTGCTCCACACAGGTTTCTGCATCTCGTTTATAAACGCTATTTATCTCGTTTATAAACAGCAGATATGCTAATTATTCTCTTTATTCTCTATTTCCACCTGGGGATACTCATCGTGATGCCCCCAGAGACTATGCAGTGCCACTGATACGAACCAAGAACCGCGACGAGATCATCCCAAGGTTCCATAATCCTGAACCAGGCTGTATCCTGAGCAGCTGCTGTAGTGGTCATGGAGGAGTGGAGAGCACTGATTCCTGTGACGTTCTAGGGACAAAAGAGTCTTCGCTGATGTCCAGCGTTCTCCATCCTCCGGCGCCTAGAATGCAGCTCTGCACAAGACATTTGGCACTAGGAGAAATGGTCGTGCCCAACTAAGCCAGGTTT